CAGCATGCTTGCACATTCACAAGCAATGTAAAGCCGTGTTCCTAAACTTGGTCCTCAGGGACCCACAGACGGTCCAGGTTTTTGCCAGCCAAAATTTGAACTGTCTGGCTGTGAGCTGAGAGAGAGCAAAAACCTGGACCTTGGTTGAGAAACACTGATATAGATCATGCTTCAGGAACACTATGTTAATAGGGTGATATCGCCCCCATCGTGAGGTGAGGCTGCAGTCAGTTTCGGAGTTGTTTTGTAATGTGACCTCAATGCCCTGATTTTCGCCCGCTCAGACTTTAGCTTGCCATTAAATTTGTTTGCTGCCAGCTCTGTTCTAATCCCCAGATAAGCCACGCCTCTTGCCAGTGCGAATATTTAATGGCCGCTACAGCTAGCAGCATGACTCACAGTTAAACAGTTTTCACAGACCCTTATGTCAGTGTCTCAGTTAAAACACAAAGCCTGGAGCACTGGTCAAACCCAAGAGAACTGATCATGTCATAAATGATTAATTAAAATGTCTCCGGATGACTCCACTAAGTGACAGGGAGAGGGAGGCTAATAGGGGCCTTATGGATTCTGAGAAATAATTGCCTCAAAAATCAACCAATCAAAAAAAAAATAAAGAGCTGGAATTATAAAACAGATAAAAAAAAATACATACACGATGAAAACCTGACGTTAACTTGAACAGTAGTGGTTAGTTGTTTTATTGTCCAACTCTTGTTAACATTTCAGTTTTTGTTACCAATGAGATAAGTTAAGGGACAGGTAATGGTTAGTACTTCTCCTTGATATACCCATAATGAGCTGAAGGACCTTTAACTTGAAGAAGGGCTTTGTGAATTCCTGGCTGCTTTGTGTAGTTAGTTGACAGAACACTTCAATAAGGATACGACTGGTTCATCAAAGTGTCATAATATATCACTTTAAAGCGTTTTTCTCTTCTAGGTAAAGCCTCATCACGAAGATGTCCCAACGGGTCCACTACTGGTCGCCGTCCATCAGGATCTTCACTCAGACCCACATCTATCAGTACTTGGAAGATGCGTCAGACTTTCGGATCTGAACTCAAAACCCAGCGGCACACTATAGAGCGTTTGGACAGCTTCACAAAACCTCCGTTACATCTTAGTACAGGTACTAAGTCTCAAAAACAGATGAAAAACAGGCAGTGGGAAGGACAGACACTGGTATAGCAAACATTTACACATCAAGATCCTGCCAATACTTGCCAGCATTGTTCTACAAAAACCAGTGCCTGGAGATACAGCCGGGATTGACAGTGGGGTTTTATCTTGTTCATAGCTTTGGCATTCAGTCTCAAAAACGATTTGGTTATTGCCTGTTGATCAATTGCAATCTGGTCTCAGTCAGTTCAAATGCAAATAAGGAAGGGCCAGTAGGCGGAAGATTACCTTAATTAATATTGCCTGGAGAATTTAAATGGCATCATTTAAACTTTAATTGTATTGCTTGTCAGCTACTATTGCCGAGCCCAGTGATGGTTCAAGGAAGAATGGAATCAGTCTCCATATTGAGGTAACAAGGAACCACTTCCTTCAGTCCTCTAGGACAGTGTTTCCAAACCCGGTCCTTGGGGACCCCAGACAGTCCATGTTTTTGCCCCTTCCCAGCTCCCTGTCAGACAGTGCACATTTTTGCTGTCTCCCATGGGAGTTGGGAGGGAGCAAAAAAACATGGACTGTGTGAGGATCCCTGAGGACTGGCAGGGGGCTGGGAGGAAGCATAAATGTGATCAGTCTCAGGGCCCCCAACGACTGGGTTGGGAAACACTGCTGTAGGATTCATTTGTATGAAACAGAGCAACATGCACAAAAAAAGGGACAAAATGGAAAGCCAGATTAAAGTTTGATAACCCTACAGGAAAATGCATGCTTTCATTTGTAGTGCTGGCAGAGGAACAAAGTAGATAACTATTTCCTGCAATGATAAACAGCTAAATTATTCTTCTAAAGGTAAGCCCTGTCCCTGTTTTAGCCGAAGAGCCACAAATGGATTGATGGCATCGTTCATTTAGAAGCTCCAGAGGGTCGGGAGTGGATAGGTGTGAAAAGCTGATGGAAGAAGATATGGTCCACTCTCCTGACATGAAGAAAAGCCTGACATTTGATGATGCATCAGGTAGGGCTGGGCATTTAACTCCACCAGCCAGCAGGGGGAGCGATGATTCTCAATGGCCGTGAGGAGAACCTTGCAATTCACATCTAAAGACAACAAGCTCTGGTGTAGCCAAAGGGCACATCTGCCCTGTTATGCCAAAGGCAAAATGAATATGCTAAACAAGGTGAGAAATGGCTGCTGCACATACGGGATTTGTTAAAAAGTGATTTAAAAAATGGCACAATTTTATGGGCAGTTCACAGTCAAAGTAGCAGAGCTGCGTGAGAGGAATAAGAAGGGTGAGGCAAAGAAGGTTTAGAGGAGCGATTGCCTCTGTATGGGGTTTCAAAAGGACTCAGATGAAGAAAAAGATGTAGCTCAAATTGTGGGCCAAGATTCAGTTTGTATTAATGCCCGATTTGAGGGAGATAACTGTTAATTCCAGACTATTCCAAAAGTCACGAATGTCATTTAATGAAATACCTCTTTCCGCTAATGCTAATTGCATGACACCACCACAAAAGGTCACACAATTAAACAGCGAAAACTGGAAATAATGTAGAGGGAAATAAAAGCATTACTATTAAAACAAACTGAATTGCAATGTGAAGGACTCCTTACCTGACCTGAACGAGCAAATGTATAACAGAAAACATTTTTAAAAAATTGGTAAGTAGATTGTAATATTTCAGAAACATCAGTTAGGAGAGATAATTTTTAAAAAATCTTCTTAGAAAGACGTTTCTGTGTTAGCTAAGCTGGAAAAGCCCTTGTGGAGATTAATATGTGCTCATGAAGAGAATGCAATTAATGCTGGGAAGAAGGTCGGAAGATAATGTATCGATAACTTCACAAGAAGCATGTGAATTTTTCCCCATGGGGGCCTTACAAGGTTGAAAAAAAAATGCATTTAGTTGAATTTTAGGCATTTATTCAAAACAGCATACAATGAGGAAGGCAGGGTCTGCCGGCCCCTAGAGGGACTGAGGGAGTAGCTGTGCGGTCCAGTGGTGATATCACTCTGAGCCTGGGATCTAAACCAGCGACTTTCAATCAAAGCCTCCCAACCCAGTGAGCGACACACTACCCAGAGAGCATAACAGTCAGGCAGTGATCATCGCCTTTCACTTTTCAGTCACATACCATAAATGATCCCCAAATGTTTGTGAGGCTGCAGATCGATGGATGAGTGCATTACAGAGTTTCTCAGGGTATATGGGAGACACAGCATTATTAGCTTCACCTAGGAAGAGAAGATGAAATGTCTTCAGGCAACGTGACAATGCGGGGAGACGAATGGTATTGGCTCACGAGGCAACATGCTGCTCCAGCTCACGTAGCCGACCCCCCCGCCCCCCGTCCCCAGCACCTGCAGTCCACGAAGCCCAGGGAACAGATGTCATGGAGACCGATTCTGGAATGCAGTAAACGTGTATGAAGACAATAATGTTCTGATTAAAATCATCTTTAGGAAGACATTCCCCAGGGAGCTCGTTACTGTCAGAGTGTGGGTGTAGGGTTTGTCTTCTGGCCTATGGAGCTGTACCCAATGTGCCAGGCTGGCCCTCGCTGTTGGCACATCAGGCAGCTGCCTAAGAGCCCCCCAGTTACCTGCGTCGCGAAGGAAATTAAATTATCAGTTGGTAGGGGGACCTCCCAAATAAAGGTTCACGGACCCTCATGAATCCTCATGGACGTCGTACCTGCTTGGTGAGTCTCTGATCTCAGCAGAGGGACTGCAGCTCGGGGGCAGGTTATCGTTCTGCCAAGGAGACAGACAGCGATGCCCCCTACCAGCCACCAGAGAACACCAGCGGCGAATGGACGCGTCTGTAGTGCTGTTGTCAGCCAGCCTCGATTGCACTCAATGTCTCCATGGGTCGAACACGGCCGCCACAGCAATGCAGGGCACTGGGATGGGGCACGACGAGCAGAGATGAGAGGAGTGGCACACCCGCCACATTGATTACCCTTTCATACCGCCTCAGGCTACCTGAGCAAAGGGAGCAGCCAGACAATGGAAAGTCCATTCGAGTGCTTTGTTTGTCCCTTCACTGTGTGTTACACGGACCTCTTTGCTACTTCTGTGCTCAACATGACTGATCTAGCTGCCACCAAACAGCAGCTTGCTCTGCAGATTCATCCTGTGTGTGTGTGTGTCTGTGTGTGTGTGTGTGTGTGTGTGTATATATATATATATATATATATATATATATAAAGTATTTTTCTTCCCAGATTGTCTGTGACAGCCTACAGCTTCCTCTGTGCCGGCTGAGGCTGAAATTCACGGGACATGATCAGGCACACGGATTGGCAACAAAGTCAGCCAGCAAGGGGCCAGAGACTACAGACGAATCCAGAAAAACACCTTAGTTTCACATTACTGATCTTTGGGCCACCATTAAAAAAAAACAACCCAGGTCGCGTGGCTAAAATGTATCTTTCTATGGATGGTCATGTGTCCCCCATCCCCTGGGTATATTAGCCAGAATTTGAACAATTTTAACAATCCTGGCATTGGTTCCCCCGAATTCCCACGCTTGACTCCTTTCGCTATCTGTAGGACAACATTAGAGTGACTGAGAGCGAGTTACTATTTAAATTGCAAATTAACACACTCGAGCAGAAAACAGTTAACCTAAGAAATTAATTGCTCATCTCCTGATAGCGGAAACAAAGACAACAATAAAACTGAAGTATTCCGTTTGCATTATTAAAGCCCTACGTCTTAGTATTTGGTAGAGTCACCTCTTGCCACGATGACAGATTTGAGTCCATTGGGGCTACCAGTATGCATGCTGGTGCAAAACAATGTTTATCAGAATATAAAATACATTAAATACCACGATTTGCAGCTTCCGCGCCTTTAAAAAATAGAATTCAAAGGCAGTGGCAGACCGACTGCTCCCTCGGTTTCTCGCTCTCTGTTACCACCCCACCTTTTCTGTCTCCCAGTACACAGGAGTCTGGAGTGACATGAATTTGCGGGAGACCTCTGGCGCGCTCCTGCACCCAGACAGCGAGGTGGATCCCGGCAAACTCCACAGGTCCGCAAAGTGCGCTAACTTTGGATTACAGAAACCGGATTCAGCCGCACTTTGGCGTTCAAGGTCAGATATGCTCTTAATATACGCATGGTTAGTTTTAAACATCAAAATGCTCTGTGCAAAAAGGTTTGTTACCTGTATTATTATTGTTGTTGTTGATTTTATGATTGTTTATATAAACTAACCAAATATATCAGAAGAGTTACAGTATAATGACAAGATAGAGATCCTATAATTTTCTGTAGGGAGGGTAACATGTATTCGTTTCTGGTTCATGTGTCTGTACAATGTGTTTTATTTATTTTTTATTTTTTGTATGTTAGCAAGACATAGACAATACAACCCCCGCATTTAACGCTGTATTAAGCATTTGATTTTCTGTTTCTTAAGGGTGTTTAATCAATCTTCAAACTTCAGTGCTAATTTCCTAATTTACTACATCGTTCTCTTGTTGCTTTAATGGAAAATAGATCAGGGATCAAATTATCCCAGGCGCACAAGCATCAGGCAGTAACGACATGTTGCTAATGTAATTACCTTTAATGACAGGCTGTACGCTTCTCCTGCTGCCGTTACTGAGCTGCAATGCTGGTAATTCACCTAGTGAGCCGTGAAAACCTTCGCGTTTCCATAAAGAAGATTCAGGCCGAGCGCTAGAGCGTAGCAGAGCAGCTTAGGAAAGTGGCTCCTCAATGCGTGCACATAATAATGTGTAAATTCTCAAAAAATGTAAAAAACTTTGAAGTACCTCGACCATCTTTTAAAATCTTTATACTGCAGAGTCTAATTAATGAACAGTCAAGAGTTTATTTAACTGTACATTTAAAATCAAAACACGTATCTGTGTCAGAGATCCACATTTAAAATCATGATTAGGAATTACCACCTCAGATTCGTTCATAACTCAATAAGTGGTGGGCAGATTGATGGATGAATGAATTTTCCCAATGTAACCATCCTTAATGAGGGATTGTGTGTGCACTGCGTTAGACTGCTAATCCGTTCAGGGTGCCTTCTGTTCTCGGCTTGCCAGTCTCCTTCACTGGATAGGCGGTTACGGAAAATGGATTGGCGATTTGCTAATTCTGAACAGCAGAGACAGCTTAATTCATGTGCTACAAGTAAACTGAAATATGTTCAATAAAACATGTTCCAAGTTTAACTATAGGAATCTTAAGGGGATTTTGTTGTAGGTTTACCAATCATACCACTGTCACCAAACCCACTAATGTCATAATTAAGATACTGTTTGTGTTGATTTTTTATGTTTTTAGGGCCAATTCTAGTATTTACTCAGCCAACATCCTCAAAGGGTGAATATAGACACTATTAATTGAAGGGAACAAGTTTTCTTAAACACAACTTTCCTTGAAGGCAAGTATAACCTTTATAGATATGCTGTTGCATGAAAATATGCAGTTGGCTGGTTTGGTAAAGTGTCTGAGTACTCTCAAACTTTAATGAATGTGAAAATTCAGCAAATACAGTAGGCCTACAGTAAATTGAGGGTATAGACAGATCATTAGTAGAAACACGCCTCAATAAAACTGACACTACTTAGAACCATATGCTACCGAACATACACTGCACGCTTTGTTTACGCAAAAGCATTAGGAAGCGTACAAATTTAAATTGAAGTAGTGTAACCCTATCCCATCCCTGCTGTACTCTGTCCACCGATCCAAAGATACGAAAAGCACAGCATTGCGGCAGCTGAACCGGCTTAGAATGGGAATCTCACACTTAACCCGTGAGAGTTTACAGCCATGATTTTATAGTTCATTACTTGCTACAGCTTGGAGGAACTACAAGTTTTCTTTTTGTTTTTTGGAAACTTGGGTATTTTCAGGAGGGCCTCCATAACAGCTTTTACAACATTATTTATTGCCAATGTCAAAAAGCATTTGACGAAAAATGTGTTGAGTCATTTAAACTTTTTAGGCTGAAAGAACTAGTGCTGATGTAATTTTGAAGCTTCCACTCGAACTTTTTGATTTTGCGTCAAGTAAAAGCTGTGAGTTCCGCTGGCCCTTCTGTCGATTTTGTTTGTGACTCATCCTCAGTGATTCATTCATGCCTTTGTAAGCTGTCAAACTGTGGCCTCACGCTAGAGACCTGCACTCCCGCAGGAGTACCGCGGGACCTACTTATATGTTTACCTGCGGGATTTTGCGGGCGGGAGCTGGAGAAAATAATATATATTTTTTGCGGGAGCGGGACAGAATCTTGCGGGAGCGGGCAGGAGTGGAACTGAAAAATCCGTCCCGCGCAGGTCTCTACCTCACCCCTCCAGATTTGTGGGTTCCCCTGCGTTGCCCTATGCTTGCTGGAATTGCCGTGTCACTGCTTTGGATAAGTAGTACTGGATGGATGGAGGAAGAAAAACAAACATCTGTAGTTAACGCAATACTATGAAATACTTGCTTATGGAACAGTTGGTTCTTAAACAGGAAAACTAGCAGGCATTTTTTATTCATTTAATAATTCCCCCAGCCTAGTGTTTCCCAGTCTGGTCCTCAGAGGCCCAGAGATGAACTACATTTTTGCTCCTCCCAGCTCCCTCTCAGAGAGTCCACATTTTTGCTCCCTCTCAACTCCCGGTAGCAGTAAAAACATGGACTGTCTGCCGGTCCCCGAGGACTGGATTGAGAAACTACCCCAGCCTATTAAAGAAAACAGCCTAGTCAAAGCACACCTCTGAACCTTGCCCTAGGTGAGACCTGACGGATCTTGCTGAAATGGAAGGCAGCGGAAACAGTGACTGGCTGGTGGCTCCAGGGCCCCCTTGTGGCACGGAGGGGGAGGGTAACAACAGCAGGCGCAGCTTTGAAGTAGCGGTGAAGAACAGCTCGTCTGGCCGCAGCCCACTGTTCGCCGGAGTGGAGCTCCTGCAGTCCTTCAAAGGCCTCATCATCCCCTGCTACGTGCTGGTGGTGCTGGTGGCCATGCTGGGCAACTACTTGCTGCTCCACGTCATCTGTCGCGGCCGGAAGATGCACAGCGCCACCAACGTCTTCATCGGCAACCTGGCCTTCTCCGACATGCTCATGTGCGCCACCTGTGTGCCCTTTACACTGGCGTACGCCTTCAACCCGCACGGCTGGGTCTTCGGCCGCTTCGCCTGTTACCTGGTGTTCCTCATCCAGCCCGTCACCGTCTACGTGTCCGTGTTCACGCTCACCGCCATCGCCGTCGACAGGTGAGCCCGAGTCGCGCCGAGTCAAGCTTCCGGCATTTAAGGGAACATTTGCACACAATCTATAGGTGTGTACAACAAACCTAGTGGGCTTTATGTTGTCGTGCCATGTGCAGTATATATAAGTATAGAGTAGCATGAAATGGTGTTTCCCCAGAAGCACAGTGGAGCATCCAACAGGAGTGACACGGGGAGGGTCTCACAGTGCTTAAGGTGCAAAAAACAGGATAGTGTGCAACAGAGGGGCTGAACATGAGAGTTTACAATACCAGTCAAAAGTCTGGACACACCTGCTTTTAATGCATTGGTCTCTATTTTAGCTGCTATTCACCTTATTCACCTTAGGCCGCGAGGTAGTGAATTAATACATATCAAATATCGCAACAACTAAGAGAAGTGTTCAACATCTCAAAATATTCTCAAATTGTAAACTCTTCAAAAGAATCCTCTTTTGCTTTGATGGCAGCATTGCAGACTCTTGGCATTCATTCCTCCAGCTTCCCGATGTGGCCACCTGGAATGCTTCTCCGACAGTCCTGAAGGAGTTTCTACAAGTTCTGGGTGCCCATTGACTACCTGCTCTTATTCTTCA